CACCCTCGCTGCCAGGGCTGCCCGGTACAGCTATACCTCTGACATTTCAGCCCCGTAACACCGGTGTCTCATTTGTTTGCAATGTTTGAGCAGATGTGTGCTCAAATTCATGACGTGCTACTGTCGCCCACTCAGTCCTGCCGTGGGATCCTCGTGTTGCAAGCGGCTGGCACAATCCAAAGCCTACTGAACATGATAAAGTCTGTTTTCCATGACGGAGGGCAGGAGGGTGACTTTGCAGTCAACTGGCACTCAGCACCTGCACCTTTCCAACTCCTCCTCCTCCCCAGCCACATTCAGCCAGCTCGCCCCAGAGCTCACAGCGCGAGGCAGTGGGTCAAGCTGCCAAGTGACTGTGGAGACCATGGGGGGGGGGGGTGTTTGATAAAATGATATCCACAACAACTGGCTTGATAAAATGATATCCCTAACAACTGGCAGTGTGAAAAGCCAACAAACACAAGCAGCTCTCCAGACTCCTCCGCTCTTCTGATCTCCAACTGCCCTTCATGGGGTCGACTTGTAAATCCTCTTGTTTTGCATAGCTGACCTTATCTCCCCCGTGCCCCCAAACCACTGCCATCGCATAGGAAAAGCATGTCCAGTTTATATAAATAGACATTATCTCCATTTACACCCTGCCTTGTTGTTTTTACTCTTGAATGAACACAGAAATCTGCCCGAGCCAAATCAGCGTGTGTGTTCAAACAGACATGCATGTGTCATGTCTCTGGGGCAGCTAATGCATGCAGCTGGTGAATGGTTAATTACAAGCCTTGGGGATCAGGATATTTGCAGGCCATTCTTACAGTGAGTCATCTGCTCATCCCGTCCTCCAGCAATCTCCTCTCTTCCCCCTCCCCACTCAACCTAGCTTCCCTGAGGTCATTTCTGCAAATACTAGATTGCTCATCGCAGAGAGCTGGGCTGCGCTTCGGTTTTAATCAATAAATAATAGAATCCTTGTCAGCACCGAGGGAGGATCCGTTATTTTATCTTTCTGCAACCTCTTCCCCCGCCACACAACCACTCTCACCGTGCTGGGGCTGAGCTCACCCAGAATGAAACTGCACCTACACAGGCGAAAGATGTGACACACTCAACCCCTGGCAGCCAGAAAGCAAGGGAAGGAACGGGGCCAAAACTTGGCTTGCAATTGCTCTGCTCTAGCTGCCCTGCCTGGGACCAGAGCCCCAGGACACTTGGTGACCTGGTGGCGCGAGGGTGACCTTCTTGTATCTTATCACTGCAACTTCTGATGCAAGACCACCTTAGCCCTTAAGTAACTCCACCACACCTAGGGAGAACAGGAATATAAGGGGGAACCTCAAGGAAATTTTTTTTTTTTTTTCCCCTGGTGGTTTTACAGCCCATTATTTGCAAAGTCGGTGCTACAGACCACCAAAGGGCCCTTTCTTCTGATCAGTGCCCAGTGTTTCAGCGCAATTTATGTCCCCACAGAGATCTTCCCCCAGACCACGACAGCTTCCTGGGGGTCCGTGGCCGCGGTGAATCAGCAGCGCTGCCCACTGAGTCACTGGCTCCTCAGGCCACACCGGATCTGAAACGGAGCTGCGGACTTCACGGGCCTGATCCTGCCACCCAGCACGCTTCCAGCAAAGGGGAACAGCAGCAGGAAAAGGAGGAAACTTTCTCATGCACTAAGAGGGAATCTTTTTAGCCTCAAATCAACAGGCTTTCCAGATTAAGACACTTTGCAATACACAAGAGGTACAACGCAGAACCTACATCAAACCCGCACCCCAGACAAACTGCCCACAGCCACCGTCACCACTTCAAAGCGTGGGGCTGGTACATGAGCAGGGAAGGACGATCTTGTGGCTAAACGAGCAGGCTGAGAGTCAGCAGAGCTTAATTCAGCCCCTGCTTTGCCACAGACTTCCCAGCGTGACCCTGGAGATGTTTCTTCATCTCTAGTTTAATGAGCTCTGCAAGGATTTGGCTGGCTCAGCACAGTGCAAGTATCCCTGCCCTGCAGCAGCAGAATTGGTGTTTTGGGGGGACTGTCAGACCCCAGGGCAGGCTGGCGGTGACCGCACAGAGCCAGGGAGGTGGCAAACCGCTCTGGGAATCTCGCTCCCCCTTGGTGCCAGGCAATACCCAGGCTGGAGGTGCCTCTACCCCGGTGGGGGTGCCCTCCGGGCACTGTTTTATAGGAGGCACAAACCGGGCACATCAGGACAAAAACTAGTATGATAAAAGGCTTAATAAAAGTGAATCAGCCCTGGCCGGTGAGGACACAGGGGCAGAGTTTATTCAAGTAACATCGCCTGTTTTTTTCTCCTCCATTTATGGCCTCAGGCTATGGCGAGGGGAGTTGTTTGTGAACTCCTGCTTCGGCGCGGCCCCGCAGCCGGG